ATATTTTGAAAAGTGTGATGTTAATTGTTAAATAAAATTATTGTTGAAATTAGCGCGTCATTGGCATCGCTGACGAGAGAGAGTGGACCGAAAGTGGTGAGGGGAGATCCGGCGAAGCAGTCGGAAACGCCGCGGATCGTGAGCCAGAGCCACGTCAGCCCCACCATTGGCGTCAGCGATAGTTCGCTCAAATTCACTCATGTCCTCTACAACCTCTCGCCCGCCGGTAACACTTTTCCCCAATTAACCCTAATATATTTCTGCTATTTTAATTTCCGGCGTCAATTTCTGTCGTGTGTATGCAGAGCTATACGAGCAGGCCATTAAGTACGAGAAAGGATCCTTCATTACTTCCAGCGGCGCCATAGCCACACTTTCCGGCGCCAAGACCGGCCGTTCCCCAAAGGACAAACGCGTCGTGAGAGATGAAACTACTGAGGATGATCTTTGGTGGGGAAAGTATGTGCTGACTCTCTCAATAATGCAACCTGTTTTTTTTTATTATTTTTTTCTTTTCCTTTTAATTTTTTAATTTCGCCGTATATGAAAATTAAAATTATATTTGTAGGGGTTCTCCAAATATTGAGATGGACGAGCACACTTTCATGGTTAACAGAGAAAGAGCGGTGGATTACTTGAACTCCTTGGACAAGGTATATATATTGATGGCGGTGCTCAAAATTAACTGTAGCATGTTAACACACCAGTTCATTTCTAAAGATTTTTTTTTTTTTTTTTTTNTTTTTTTTTTTTTTTTTTTATACATTCAAATAATATACTTTGATTCACTATTTTGCTTATTTGTGTTCCTTCACCTTCATTATTTTGCGTTATGTGAATTTGTTATATAGATATTGCTGAGAATGAAAATCTGAAACCATCCGTAGTAATATTGGTTTTTGGTTGTTTTTGTCCTTTATGGCCATACGGTTGTGATTCTTCGAATGGTGCAAGTTTGGCCTTTTCCATCTTCTGTCCTAATTCCAATGTCCTTATCTATTATATCTACCCAACTATTTATAATTTGAAATATCAATTCCTGTTATATTACTCTGAATTCGGAATTTTTAGCTGATTTCATTGTCCAAAATTTGCCATAAACAAGACTAATCATCTTAAACCGACGATTAAACCCCAAATGCTTATTTGTTCTAGGTCTTTGTTAACGATCAATTCCTGAACTGGGACCCTCAGCATCGCATCAAAGTCAGGATCGTCTCTGCCAGGGCATACCATTCTCTGTTCATGCATAACATGTAAGCAATTGTTCCAAATTGGGCAAAATAACAAGTCGATAACTTCTCTCAAGTTGAAAAAAATGGTAATGACGAACAGGTGTATCCGGCCAACTCCCGAGGAGCTGGAGAATTTCGGTACCCCCGACTTCACAATCTACAATGCTGGGCAGTTCCCTTGTAACCGATATACCCACTACATGACATCATCTACAAGCGTAGACCTAAACTTGGGAAGACGTGAAATGGTCATTCTCGGCACTCAATATGCTGGTGAGATGAAAAAGGGCCTTTTTAGCGTCATGCATTACCTAATGCCCAAGCGCCAGATCCTATCCCTTCACTCGGGATGCAACATGGGCAAAAACGGGGATGTTGCTCTTTTCTTCGGATTATCTGGTCACTATCAGTCACCATTTTTTTTTTTTCCATTTTTATTGTTGTTTGTTGAGTTGGATAATGAATGAGGGAATTGTTTTTTCTATTAGGCACTGGGAAGACCACGTTGTCTACCGATCATAATCGGTTCTTGATTGGAGATGACGAGCACTGCTGGAGCGAAAATGGCGTTTCGAACATTGAGGGCGGATGCTATGCCAAGTGCATTGATTTGTCGAGGGAGAAGGAGCCTGATATTTGGAACGCCATCAAGTTCGGGACCGGTAATTTTCTCTTCGATGCTGAATGTGTGATTTTAATAATTCTACTTATTTTATTTTATTTTATTTATTTTTTGTTTCTTGTAGTGTTGGAGAATGTGGTGTTTGATGAGCACACAAGAGAAGTGGACTACTCGGATAAATCCGTCACGGGTAATTAATTTTGTCCATTTATTCGTTAAGTTCACATACTTTAACCTTCTGGAGTAAATTTTTGTCATTTTTTTCCCTCAGAGAACACTCGAGCGGCATATCCGATTGAATATATCCCCAATGCTAAGATTCCATGTGTGGCCTCACACCCGAAGAATGTGATTCTACTGGCTTGTGATGCTTTTGGCGTGCTCCCGCCTGTGAGCAAGCTGAGTCTTGCGCAGACAATGTACCACTTCATCAGTGGCTACACTGCTCTGGTAGCCATTTTTAATGAAATTGAGTGAAAAATGTGAAACTGCATCGATTTTATTTATTTTTTTGTTATTAAATTCAATGATTGGTACTACTACAGGTTGCTGGTACGGAGGATGGAATTAAGGAACCACAAGCGACTTTCTCGGCTTGCTTTGGGGCAGCCTTTATAATGTTGCATCCCACAAAATATGCAGCCATGTTAGCTGCTAAGATGCAAAAGCACGGTGCCACTGGGTGGCTAGTCAACACTGGCTGGTCTGGTGGAAGGTATATTTTTTCGGATTTATTTTAAGTATTTAGCAGTAATTATTTATTTCTCTTAAAAAAGAATTATTGAAATTGATATCGATTGTTCTTTTTCGGCAGGTATGGGTCTGGGAGCCGTATCAGGCTTGCATACACTAGGAAAATAATTGATGCTATTCACTCGGGCAGCCTATTAAACGCTAACTATAAGAAGACTGAGGTTTTTGGGCTCGAGATCCCAACTGAGGTCGAGGGTGTGCCTTCTGAAATATTGGAACCTTCCAACACCGTGAGTTCTGCCGAATTATACATTCTTTTATGGTTTTTTTTTTTTTTTTTTTTTTTTTTTTTTTTTTTTTTTTTTTTTTTTTTCACATTTTTTACCTTTTCTTTTCTATTTGTGATTGTGTTTGAGTAAAATATGCAGTGGTCGGATAAGAATGCTTACAAGGAGACGCTGCTGAAATTGGGTGGGCTGTTCAAGAACAACTTTGAAGGCTTTGTGGCTCACAAGATTGGAAAGGACGACAAGTTGACTGATGAAATCCTTGCTGCAGGTCCTGTTTTCTGATCAGCCACCGGAGAAGAAGAATAAAAGAAGTCTCTTTCTTTAAGTTATTAAACGAAAAAAGAGATGCTCTTTTTTCATGGCAAGTTGTATTCTGATCGGTATGTACGAAAAGGCTTCAGTGAATTGCCTCAACATAAGGCTTCAGTGAATTGCCTCGATTTTGAGGAATTGACGCAAATAATTTTATGCAATTTAGTTGGATAAAACGCTAGGCCTGTCGTAATAGTACTATAGTCGACTAAACATCGGGATGCTTTTTTTTTTTTTTTTCAATTATNTCTTGACAAGTAATGTAATGTGGACCTAATGAAAACCAACAATTTTAAAGAATAGTATAATTGGAAGTGCACAAGCTTATATCCAACTTTCTGATAACAAGTGTATAATAATCAGTACCTAAAAGGCAAACAAGAAACTTTGGCCTCTAGTCAAGTGTATAATAAACAATTAGGGTGTTTAATTGTGTTCTTGATTTGCTAGGGTGTAAGTCAGGTTTATTTGGCTCTAGTTAAGGATCTTTTAGTGCTTCAGTTATTTTTTTGATTCCTGCAGTGATGCATTCTCTGCTTTGTGATATTGTCTGTATACTTCATTTGTTTTCTTCACTTGTTATTTGTTTGTTAACATGCAAGGAATTGTGTAATCACGTCTCCTAATTAACTTCCCTTTAGTATTGTCCAAAATTCTTAACATGAGAAGCCATAGTCAATTGGAACTGGTTATGTTGAAGGAGGTTGATAGAATCAATTCCTAAATTTTTGTTTCTGAATAGAAGCTTGGTTCTTTAACTTTTATAATCTGAATAAACCTTTGTATGATGGAAGTGGAAATATATACTTGTGCTGTGCGAGGAATGTATAAGCTTTGGCAATGAGTGAAAGTAAGAGGGTAAAACTCGAAAAGCTTGCCCAGTATTCATTGCTTCAGGTAAAAGTTCTCTTACAATGCATTCAGTATATTTCAAGAATTCAGTATATATATTTCAAGAGTTTAGTGCATTCTGCGTCCCAAAAATCCTCCAAAGAAGTTCTTTTGAGATTTCCTATCCTGATATTTTACGTTGACTTTGAATGCTGAATCAGTGATTTTTGGATGACATTAATGTAAACAAACATCTATCTATATGCCTGCTTTGATTATGAGCACTGGTTGAAGAATATAACACCTGAAAAAAATACTCCCTCCCTCTTATTCATAATACTAGTACGTAACCCGTGCGATGCACGAGCTGTATAATTTTGAAGAATAATATAATTTCACGTCGAAATTGAAATTATTAAAATACATAGGAACATTATTGAATCATAAAAAGTTCGTTCACAATCATATATTATTAAAAACCTCCTTGTACACAACATTATGAGTTTGATTATTTGCTAACTCCTCATTATCACAAATTAATATTTTCAACTCCCTTCTATTAGTTATCATGCAAAATAAGCTCGAGATGCGACTTGTACGTGCTGCCCTTATCTTGAAAAAACATCCCCACAACGCGAACTTTAAGCATAGGTCTCTTGCTCCTATTAATTTCTTTGATTAACCCAAATGCTTGATCCATTGCAGTGAAAGTGATTTTTTTTCTTGTAAGATATGCGTTTGTTATACGGTGAATGCGTGATGGTATTAAGATATATAATATATATATATATATATATATATATTGTTGTTAAAGAGAGTGTTCTTGTTAAAGAGAATATTTAAAATCGGAAAAAAATCTTGTACAATTTTGTTGAACGTGGACTTTTCAATATAAATCGGTAAATTGTTTGAAAATAAGTTAGAAGAATAAAACGTGTGTCAAATATGTTTAATTTTTGAATTTCAACCAAACTGGGATTCTTTCCAACCAATAGATGACATGTTTGCATTATAACGTTGATAAAGTAGAGATTACGTTGGAAAAATAAAACCGTGTTAATAACTTATTTAACATTTTAATTAGAGCAAATTATATATGTTGCCGTGTAGTTGAGGAGTACATCTAGTCCGTATTTATAAGATATAATGTAACTTATTAAAATCTTCTACCAAAAAAAGTCATACCAAATGGAAATAATATAATTTTTAATTTAAGTAGAGATTGTATACAAAAAATAAAACCGCGTGAAGTAATTAGTGATAATCAACACGTGCATTTTTAATCTATCTAATTGATGCGGATATTCTTTAAATATTTTTAGAGATAATAATCCCCTTACCGTTGAATATTCTTAAATAATAAAATATTCAACACGTGTATTTATTTTAGGAAATGAATAAAAAATTGATTAAGCACACGTTTTAATTTTATACAGTTAATAAAAATACTAGCTATTAACATTTCAAATATATTATTATACACTTTCTTCGACTCTACATATAAATTACAAAAGAGATTTTATACTTTATATCGACATAACATAACAAAATTGTTTTGAATAGCAATATAATATTAAATTTAGATCCTTTAAATATTTTATATTTAACCAATTTAGTTATTTTATTATTACAATAATATATTTGTTCTTTTTAGCAATATAATATCCACCTACTCGGTTTACTAATGCAAGGATGAATAAAACATTTGAATAGCAATTGGATTTAAATCGAATAATTATATTTTTTTTGTTATTGATACACATTTTTTTGTACTTTATAGGTATATGAATACGCTTGTATGAGGATGTAATTAATTGATGTTGTGTTGAAGATTTGGAGACTCGCGCTCAATCATACGAACCACAGGAAGACATAACGGGCATCTCTTGTTTCTTCCAACATCATTAATGATACCAAAGGGTTTTTCCATTGTTGATTTGGAACTGTGCTTTTATACATGCTTATAAAGTGTTATCAGGTTACCATCTTGAAATTTGATAGTGTGTACATTCAAACAATCCGATGACTGTTATAACAAAAACCGATTCTAAAGGGAAAATACTAAAAAGGGGACTTTTTAGAAATTCAAACAATAAGGCGGCATGAGTACAATATTTAAAAAAAAAAAAGACTTTTTAAAATTTCAAACAATACGGTTGCATTAACGGGATAAGGCTGCTTTTTGTTGCTGTTAGTGTGTGAAAAGGAGTGTGTGAAAAGGGATAACGGTGTAATTAATGCGTTATTAATGCAGTGTGTGGAAAGGAATTAAAACCTGCCATTTATGGAAAAGAATTAATGCAGATCTGCGTTTGACTATTAATTAACCTACTATTTTTTATAAATGTTAATTCTTATTATATATATATATGTTATTTTGAGAAGTTGCACTGTTATTAACAATTTTTTTTTGTTAATAATAACTCTCTTTAATGAAAATAGAAATAGATATTTTGGGAAAAGTTGAATAGTGAATATGAGAACACCGTGTATTTATTAATTAAATAAGTAACGGAAAAATATGTGTAAAAGATAAAAAACGTCACTTATTTGATTAATAATTGATAAAGCCAAAATAACATTTAAAAAGAATAAGAAGTAGTATATATTAAATTATTAGCTAAGGGACAATCGTAAACTTATCTGGTGACATCGTCATTGGAAGTTCTACAACGGGCAGATTTTTAAAAATTCGGCTTCTTTCGATCACTGGGTAAGGCTAACTCTAGTTTTCATGTTTTGGTTTCTGACAACAAAATGAAGAAACAAGATTGAAAATGAAGAAACCAATAGATTAATTGAAAATTTTCGTGAATCTAAGGAGAAATGATTTATTGGATTTGAATTTTGTCAATTTAAAAGGAGAATGATCTTATTTTTCTTTATTTACTAACCACGCTTTTTAATCACAAAAATAAAAAAAATAAAAAAAATACAATGATTCGGATCCCAATTTTAAACCAAGCATCGAGTTTCCATCAATTATAACAACGTTAGATGAGGTTTCTTGTTAAACCGTCATAGTAAAAATAGACCAAACCTTATGACCAATCCTCGATTAAATCGATCGGAGCGTCCTATCTATGACGAATTTAAAAACATTGCCGACAATCAGAATGAGTTCTTAATTAACATTATATAAATCCCCCTAAATTTAAATGACTATATATGTTATTTGCCCAAATAATTTACGTAGTTATTGCTCCAAGCCGGTTTACACGCTCTGGTCAGTGACATTGGTGGTTTTTACAATTTTCCGTTATTGAGACATATATAACCTAGTGTATACCATGCTAAATTGCAATTAATACAAATTCTTACATTACCTAGCTTAAGACTCTGTCATATTCCATAAAAAAATATTTGTACAATAAAATATCATATATTTATTTATAATATTTTTAAATAAAATGATTTACATATATTTATAAAAGGAGTATACAAGCTATTATTAGACCATGATGGGAGACTACAAACTCAGTAGGGATCTTCTACGGTCAGGTACCCCTCGTACATATTTAACATCAGATATCCCCTATTTGACCATTAGATTGATTCAAAATTGAATATCAACCATAGATTCAATGTACGAGGCAAAAAAGAATTTGCCTCGTACTTGTATTGCCTCGTACACCTCGTACACCTCGTACATGTCAAAAAACCTATTATACCCTTACTTTTTTAAAATTTAAAATAAACTAATTAATTATAAAATTTCAAAACAAGTGATTGGTCATTATTTAATTCTGTTGATTCCAAAATGTAAAAAAAAAAAANTCCAGAAAAGCCGACGACCAATCCAGAAAAGCAGATGAAGCTATAGTGCACAGTTTGTATATATAATAATAATAAAAAAAAGGGTAAAACAACAAATTAAAATCCAAAAGCATTGTGGAATTTCATTTCTTCACAGCATATGAACATTAGTTGGATCAGGCCAAGACATCGCCACAAAAGCACGAGAAATTACTAAAGCTCTCAATGAAAACCCACAACTGAAGTACACTAAACATATCAAACAAAATCCAGCCTAAAACTCCTGCGAAGCAGATCGTTGCCGGCGCCGGTCTTCTTCGGTAGCAGAACCTGATGAATTTTGGCAAAACTCCGCCGTTCGCGATCGTCACCGACCCCAACAGCTTATCAAAATTTACAGCCCTCTTCCATCATCTTATCAAATTTCTCACCGCAAAGGACACAAAATACATAAAAAGATAGAACTTTGAAAATTTCATTACTACACCAACCAAACTTATTCCATCACTCATTAGATTCAAAAGATAAATACAGTTAGGAAATCAGTCCAACTGATTTACCCAACCCTTTCTAACTTCGAGAAATGCAACAGAACCCAATCCTGTGTCGAGTTTCCCATTAGACAAAGGCATCCGCTTTTTCCAGCAGCTCGGGCTCCTGAATATGGCGACCCCTTGAAACTCGTCACTCATACAAGCATCTCTGCACTCGCGCACGGTGCTCGGATTTATATGTTCGGTCATTTTTCGGCCAGTCGACATCCGAAATCTCTACCAGCTCGTCATCACCCGGGCCGCCATGAGTACAGCTATTCCCTGAAAATTCCGGCCTGCAATCTCCGTATCGGTTATTCGGGTCGACCAGCGTGAACACTCTCTTTAGTAGATCTTGGTTACTCAGGGATGCCTGATGTTTTCACAATAATAGCGTACCTCTCGTCCAATTCAGAGATTTCGCGGTTCACTTGCCACGGGCAGCGGCAGACGGGCCCCCAATTCTCGAGGCTGCACAAGTTGTTATACCCGCAGGCCCGGCCCACTACCCCTATCCCCATCGATATCGATAAATATGTTATGATCGGGCAAGCTACCCACATAGACCCACTCTGAATTGTTATTGGATTTTCTCGAATGATAATAGAGTGTGAACTCCCATCGAGCACCAGACGGTCGCCGGTGGTGAGGCAGCGTCGATCTCGCAGATTTGGGGGTTTTTGATATGCGGAAAAAATGAAAATATTGAAACAAATAAAATAAAATACAATTTATAAAATTTTGGTGGTTTAATTGAAATATGTAATTATATCTAGCATCAATGTTAAGAAATCAATACTTAAAGACCTCTTATGTAAATTCATTACAAGTTTTTATTCAGTAAGGGCATTTCAGTATTTACACAAATCCTTAGGGACACTTGGTATTCATTTGAGACATACCTGTTGTTATGCATGTACGCGGCAAGTACGAGGGGTACCTGACGATAGAATTACCCAACTCAGTATTTAAAGTAGTGGCTGGTTTATATGTTTGCATTCTCGTCCCTTCTCTCTCCTAAAAAAAAAAAGCCGTAAATCTAACAAAACCTCCGTCGGCCGAGCAGCGCGCCTTCTCCAGCAGGGCCTCTCCGAGCCATCTCGGTGGCGGCCATCACCGAGCCATGCGGCCGGCTTTCGAAGGCTTGTTGGACTGACGGCTTCCTCTTCTCGGGCGAGGTGGCGGGTTCACCCTAATTGGATTTCGCCTCCTATCAGGTTGCCAAGGAGGGTATTGGCCGTCGGCTCCTTAGTGTTTGGGCGGCGACGAGTTTCCGGCGAGCTTGGGTCTAAAGGCTGTGACTTCAATAATCTCTTTTGGGGGTGGTCAGGCCGAGATCGGGCCGTTTTGCTCCCCCTCCCTTCTTCCGATTTCTCTACTTTTGGGCCTTTTCGGTAGCTTTGGCTGAGTCGAGTCGAGGTCGGGTCTCGTGTCCTAGGCACGAGTTGTCGGGGCTGGGATGGTGTAGCTTGTTGTTGATTTTCGATTGCGGGTCTAGGGGTTGTCTACCCGGGTAGGTCAAGGTTATGAGTCTTGATTTTAGTTAGGCATGTATTCTGTTGTTTCTTGGCTTTGCGACTTGGACCGGGTCTCTGTCTATATGGGTGGTTGCCCGTGGGTGTCGGCGTCGTTTTTGTTCATCAGTTTGGATTAGCTGATATGGGAAGGGCATTATTCTAGTTAATTTTATGTTTGTTTGTTGTTATGTTTATGTTGTGCCGTAAGTGTGCGTCTATGTTTTTTTCTCTGCTTTTGAAGTCTCTCTTCCCCCATTGGGGAGTGTGTATTCTTCGGTTGTGGAGTCTTTTGTGTGTTTGTAGTGTTGTGTAGTGGCATTTAAGCTACTTTTGGTAGGCCGCCCCCTTTCGGCTAATGAACTGATGATAATTATATGTTTTAGTAATGAATTCTATCATTTCGAAAAAAAAAATAGTGACTTATGCATTTTTTTCTTTATCAAATAAAATAATAATAAATAAAAGAAGCAACATTAATAGAAGTCCAAAAAGATTAATAAAAAAATAAATAAATTAAGAAAAGGAATTTCAGGAGCCATATACTTCATGATTACTTTACATTGGCCTACAAAATGTCAAAACAGGACAGCTATAATGACTTGAATCACTGCAATAATTCTCCAAAAACACTTTTTAATTGGCTTTCCTGAATTCCCTATTTTTCCTTTCTCCGAACAGAAAAAAAGAGAACAAAAATGTTAAGAGATTTTGAGGGTCAAAGCGACTTAATGGACTACATCGATGAAGAATTGGCCGTCATACTCGGCCACGAGTTTCTGGATAGCGGCGGCCGCCACCCGTCACCGTCCGGCGAGCCGCCGCTACAGGCAGTCGAGTCAATATTCAGCGGCGATTCTAGTAATCACGATAGAGGCGATTGTCCCTGGCCGGCCACACTTGATTTCAGAAACAACAAGAATGCCGGAAAAAGTGAGGGGGAAAATGGGGGACAGGGGAATTCGCCGGATGCCGTGGAAGGTTCTGGAAAGGAGTTGAGAAGGGATATTGAGGGGACAAAACGCGCGAGCAAGGCGCGTAGGGTGAGGCCGGCTTCACAGACTTACGATCACATCATAGCGGAGAGAAAGCGGCGGGAGCAGCTCAGCCGGTTCTTCATTGCGCTCTCTACCATGGTCCCCGGACTCAAGAAGGTGTATCTCTTTCTTTCTTTTTCTTTTTAGCCCTTTCTGAATTTTTGGTATATTTTAATTTTTTTTAAACAAAAACAATCATGGTGGATAATGCCAATAACGCATGGTATCACGACATCGAATTTGATTATGAGTTTTTTAATTTTGCTTTATTGTAAAGGGATTAATTTCAATGAGTCCACATAAGTGAGATTCAATCCTATCATTAAATAATACTTAAATAATAAGTGAGACTTAATCTTAGTTATTAGATAGGGATTAAGATGTGTGAGTAATATTTAATCTTTTATATTTTTATTTTAATTATTCAAATACTAATTGGACCATTTCACTATTGTCAATTGATTTTGGTGTTAACCGTTGACTTTCGATGTTGACCATTGACTTTCGGCATTAGCTGTTGATTTTCAACGTCGACCTTTGACCCGTGATATGCATTATGTATGAAGTAAATGTAACTTGCAATATGTAGTAGATATGAACGAAAATTAAATACACAATCTTTATGAACTAAATTTGTACCAACAATATGAACTAAGTATGCACTATTTATGAACTAAGTATGCTACGATTGAACTAAGTGTGCATTTTGCCTGAACTAAATGTACAGTAAAAATAAACAATTAAATGTGTATTTTATATAATTGCTTTAAATATAATAATAATTTTGTATTATATAATTATTGCAAATTTCAATTCATTAATAGGGGCCATTAATCTACACAAATAAATAGCTATGATTGGACCTCACATGAACTAAATATGCACTATGCTATGGAGCCATCGGATGATTTTTTATGGAGTCATCCACCACTTAATGTATTGACACTTATCCAAATTGTATTTAGTGCAGGACACGTGTTAATACACTATTCGTGAATAAGTGTGGATGGCTCCATAAGTCGAGCCATCCGATGGTTCCATAGCAAAACTGATGCACTATGATGATCTAAACATACATATTTAATAAACTAAATATGTATTATGTATTACATTAATTATATATAAAAAAAATACTATGTCAATTAATTAAATAATAAATATACAACAATAATATCAACTAAGTATGCACTATGATGAACTAAATGTGCACTATGAATGAACTAAACGTGCATTTTGCATGAATTAAATGTGCAGTTAAAATATGCAATTAAATGTCCATTTTATATAATTATTTAAATATAATAATTATTATTTTTATTATATAATTAATACAAATTTCAATTGATTAATAAGAGCCATTGATGTACACAAACAAATAAATTCCTGTGATTAGACCTCACATGGACTAAATATGCACTATGATGAACTAAATATGTATTTGTTATTCCCTAAATATGCACAGTGAATGAACTAAATATGTTATATATTACAGTAATTATATAATAAAATACTAAAAAATAATATATCAAATTCGTTATATAATAAAAAATATATCGACTGGTTTGAACTTTAAATATTCATTTTTTATGAACCATATATGCATTGTGTCTGAAGTAAATTTGCACTCGAAATATGAAATTTATATGAACTAAATATGTATTTGTTATGAACTCAATCTGTATTATTAATGAACTAAATATGCAACAATAATATCAACTAATTATGCATTTGTTATGAACTAAATATGCATTTCATAAGAATTAAATGTGCAGTCAAAATATGCAATTTACAACAATATCATGAAACCCTCTACTGTATTTATGTTCTCAACTAAATATGCATTTTTATGAAACCGAATATGCATTTTGTATTACCTAAATATGCAAGAAATAAACTAAGTATGCTACTTAAATAATACAAAAGTCAAGGGCTAGATTGAAGTTTTTCCAAAGTTTAAATTAATTGTAGATTGACCCCAATGATCAAATTGTAATAATTCATAAGTTTATGAAATTGCAACTAAATCCCTATAATTTATCTAATTTTCAAACCCAAGCCCCTATCCCCAAATTGATTTCCCGCCCCAAAAAACCCTCCTCCGCGCGCCGCCGTTCCCACCCTCAACTTCGCCGAAAATCTCAAAATCGCCCCCGCCGTTGTCAGAATCCTCGAAGCACAAAAAGGGGTTCTCACAGTAGCTGGTACCTGTCGTGCTCTGTGGACTCGCACACCCATACGACGCAGTCGAAGGGCTCTGTCGACGACCCTATAACAATGTCCTCGTACGGAAAGACATGGAGCGCATCGATGAAGGTGGTGGTTGGTAGCGGCAGGGCGGAGAAAACAAAATTACGCCTGAAGGGCACGCAATTCGACGATCTACGACAGCCTAGTGCCGTTCAACGGCGTCGGCTGCAGGCGAATGGCCACTAGTCTAAATAAATTTATTTTCTATTATATAACTAATTTAAATATAATAATATTTTTAATTATATAATTAATTTTTTAATGGCCCCCTATATGTGTGTATGGATTACCTTTTGTTTAGTTACAACTTACAAACCGATATACCAAACAAGGGTTGAGTTCAAATGAGAATGGTGCTTAGTGAATGAAATGAGAATACACTGCAGTCGTCCGATTGGATAATCCAACGGCTAAAAAAAGCCTAACATTTAAGGATAAATTGGACACTTCTAAATTACACCCACCAGTGGGCCATAGCCAATC